TATTGAGATCATCTATTGAATCAAAACCACAGCCATTGGACAGAAAAAGGCTCAACATTTATATTACTTATTGTATATTATTTTATTAATATCACTACAAAAATCCCAAACTTTGAATTGATGAAAATTCACTTCTCACTCCCTGCTAGCATCGATAAGAATTGATCACAGATTTTTTTACGTTTCTCTAGTCAAGCTAAATCAACTTTCAATCAACTTGCATTCCCATAATTTAGCTATTCAAATTTTCTTACTCTTTATTTGAATGTCACAAAATTTTATCTGAATAAACGGAAAAGTCATTTGAATGCTTTGGATCAATTAAGTCGTCAACAAACCAATCAACTCAATAGTGCTAACTAAGTTCTGCAAAGTGTCTGAATTGGCCAGAAAACTTCTTTTAATTTCTTTTATCTGAAAGTTTCCGTAGCAAGAATCGATTTAACTTAAAACGTTGAAAGAGATATATATGAAGAGATATTTTACTCTCGAAACTGTACCAAATATTTGATCAGATAAAATTATAACTTTTATACTGAATAATCGTATTGACAATTGAATATTTATCATTTGATAGGATTGAAAAATTGATGGAAAATGAGGAAAGAAAAATATGATCTTATAAAAGACTAAAGGAGAAAGCTTTTCCATGTTAGTAATGTTATCATTTGAAATCCATTTTTCATTGGCAACTCTTTGTAACAAATGTTGGCCATTGATTTTACCAAAGAACCCTCGACAATTGAATCGAAAGATATGGAATCATTTTTGTTGAATTGCAATTCATTTCAACAGAAGACAAGTGCTAAATGTGACAGCCATTTTTCAAGTCTTTGAATGCGATTTGACTTTCCAACTGATGAAGACTTAAAACCATTGGTATAATGTGCAACTTGATTGAACAGGTAATTCCTGTGCAACGATCTTTTCCTTTTAATTCAACATTATTTCAACTCTTGGATTTGTATTCATTCATTGTAACAATCTTATCAATCTTATTTCTTTGCATCTCATTATTCAAGGTTAATACTCTTGAAGAAAGAATCTAAAGAATAGTCGAACATTTTTTTTCTTTTCTCTTTCTTTCTCCTTTTGATTGGTAAAATTTAGGACCTCAGCTGGAGGGAATTTGGCAAATTTTAGTTTCCCTTTTCCTTCATTTTCCTGACTTGAATGAACAACTCTGCTGAACAGGGTTGAACCCTTGTCAATGGTAAAAATGTGCAGAAAAAGTAAATGGTAAACAGGGAAAGAAAAGTAAAACAATTGAAACCTACTGATCCAATTGACTACTTAGCATAGTTGAAATTCAACCAACTAAACATCTTATTCTGATCATTTCATTCCCTCATCTAATCGGCATCATCATGTGTCTGATTATTTTATGGGTCCTTCTTTTGTCTTTTCGTTATTGACTCCAAGGCAATCCTTTCATTCCATCCAAAGTGCTGTTTCATCGAAAAATGAAGCGAAAAGAAATGAGAGAAGAAGAAGAAGATTGAAAAGGCTCAATTTTTGTGGCAGCAAAACAAAGTGAGGAAAAGCTTTCCTCTTCCTTCTCAATCTGTTGAGACAAATCTCTCTCATTCTTGTTCATCAATTTCATGTTTCCCTGACTAAAAACCTTTAGGCAATCAGATCAACTATTTAACCTTAAAATGAAATATTGTTTTGTAATCTAACTTATCAATTGTTGTAAAGCAAAGCACTGTCAAAAGGAAGCATCTGTAAAGTGAATTTTACCTGCAAAATGAATTTCACTCATTCCAAGTTTAATACAATAGTGTTTGCTCATTTTTCAAAAAGTGAATAGAAGAAAATTTCAACTCAATTTTGAGCCAAAACACGTTTTGAGAGGAAAAACTGTTTTAAACGACTTTGCATATTGAGAATCATTCATCAGTTTAACTCATGTCAATTTCACGGCTTCAATTGATAACTTGGATAACGATATTGTCTTTTAAATATCAAACTTTGCCTTGAGCTTCTCAAAATTGATGAACAAAAAGAGAATCTTATTTTTCAATTTTCTTTTCAATTCTCAATAATCTTTGATATTTCCAACCTTAACATTGAAAAAGCGTCAAATAAATGATTCAAAGTATGTTTCGGACGAAATTAAACTCGTGAAAATGACTCAACTCTGAAGACCTTTCAGTCAAAGTATGAAAGGTATCATTTTGTTGGGTTTGTTTGCATTTTCAATGGTTTAGTAAACATTGAATAGAGTAATTGAACGGTCACTATTCAATGAAACCAGATAACGATTAAATGATTCAATTTTGGGAATAAAAATGATTGTTATTGAAGTGCACAATACAACATTGTCTGCCCATCAAATGCCTTGATTTTCATGTCTAACTGGACAATAAATATGTTCATATAAGTAAAAAAAAGTACATTTGTGGAAACATTAATCTTTCTCAGTTTGCTTTTTGGCTTCTTTTTACTTCTCTTAATAATATTACTTTTCATTGACTTGCCATTGACAATCAATGATTTTGTTTATGCTTTTTGTCCCTATTTTATTACCACTTTTTTGCTGTTGCTCCTTTATCGTTATTCATCTGACAATTAACTTGATCGACAAGTCAATTGAAGCTTTGAATGCAAGTTATGAGAAAACAATGAGAAAACAAAATTGATTGTTGTAAATGATAATATCTCAGTGGAACTTGCAATCATCAAATTGATGAAGTTGGTGGAAAAAGTTTTCCCAATTAATCATTATTAATTATCCATGTTTACTCGATTGGAAGAAACTTATTAAACTTCGGAAACGATTGGAATCACTTGTTCGCAAGTTCTTGAAATTTGAATCTCAAGAGTTCGTCACTTGCACTATCGATATTCAATTAGTCTTGCTATTGAATGTTATCATTGATTAATTGTTGATTGGTTTGAACACGCAATGGAAATCAATTGAAATTGTTGAGCAATGGTTCAATTGGAAAATTGGATTGAATGAAAAAAGTAAATATAAAGTGAGTCCCATGTTTGATGTATTAACGGTTAAATCATTAACAGACTTGTAAACTGTTAAATGGCCTTTCAAGGATAATCTTGGTCTTTCTCATGAAAATGATGGCCAGCTATTATTGAAGTTAAACTTGCTGAAGTTTCATGTCTTGCCAACTGCAAATTGATATTATTGTTTTTGGTAATGTTTACAGAAAAGACGAGAAATAATCGAAATCAAATAAGAAATGAAAAGGGCAAAAAGTCTCAAAGTCTAAGAGCAAGCAGAAAAGTCCAAGTAGAGTTGAGATGGCAATAGATAGTGGAGAGAGGAAACAAGTAAAGTCTTGAAAATTTGCTGAATCTCAACAATCTAATTTCATTGATAACTTTCCAATGATCCAGAGTTACATTTTATTTCTAGATAAACATTATTCCTCCCTGTTGTTGCCTTTTAAAAACTCTTACTTGCAGCCAATAACATTTTCACAAACAACATGATGATAATGATGATGATGATGGTTTGCATGGTTTGCTCTTCGCTTGTTAACTTTGTTTTCTTGTTTTCTTTTCTCGGGCCTTTTTGCTTATCAATCCAAACGAAATAAAGCAAAAAACAAAACATTATAATGTCATATTAGACTGTGCAAATTTGCGCCCCTCTTTTTGCTGAGTAACGTAGTTTCATCAACATTTACATCAAAATATATGTTTACATATCATACATTGAATCGTGTTCTTTTTCAGATACTTTTACAATCATTCAACTTTGCCCAGTTTAAAGATTCAATTGCAACCACCTAGCATAAACTCAATATTAGCTGGAACGATATTAACGTCTGAAAAGCTTTTATTCATTTCCATTTCATTTCTAAATTCAAAGCATTTCTTTTCATTAAAATATTTCACTTTCTCGAATGTAATTGCTTCAATTATTGAATATTCAGAGTTTAAAGACTTTACTTTGAAAGAAAGTTTTAAGACTTTCAAAGTCGTTTTACAAGAATCAAAGAAAGAATGACAATTCCTCTTCTTCGAATGTAAATGCAAATAAATTGCGAACTAGAATAATATTTTGTATTTTGCATCATAAACTGCAAAAGCAAAATGGTTGAACACAGACTAAGTAAACCGTTTGATGAACAAACTGTTAATGAACTGGACTTTGCTTGGCTCTAACTAACTAGTACAACAAATTTAACATTGGATTATGAGTGTTTTATTAACATTACTTCCACAGTTGTGTTCAACATTGTATTGCGAGCTATATAATATTTTCAGGGTTATCAATGATAAGTATTCAATATTTTAGCAATAATATCATAATAATGCTAATTCAATTTCGGTAAACTTTCACATATTGTTTGATTTACTGTTTGGTAATTAGTTGGCATTGAAAGTAAATTGGCGATAAATCTGGAAGTTATTCAATGATCACATAATTTTGTTGTCATTGTATAATTAATCATGCTTATAATTGACAAGGTGGATAACTCCAAGGTAAATTAATTGTTTTAGATTAACAAGTGGTAAATTAAATGAAATAATCTGAATCTTTTGAAGATTCTCATGGCTGGTAATCTAGTTTATGATGTTGATAGGAACCACTTTTAATTCTCAAAATTATTTTTATAAATGCAAATTTGATTAAATGCGAGCCCAAATGTGGGATTAACGAAAATATGCTATATGAGGTGAGTCTAAATTATTACAAGATCTATTTATTGGTAAACAAATTTAATCTTTACTTTTGATCTAAATTACAGTGATAGGTATTTTCTTGGTCGACAATGGCTATCTCGCGAAGCTCGGAAAAATATGCCCTCATCAAATTTACATGTGCCTTATTTTTGAATGTTTTGACTTGTTTTTTATTTTATTGGTGTCTGGCATCGCGTTCAGTTCCTGATTCACCTACACCCAAAGGAATTAAAGTCAAAAGGATTCTACCCAGCTATCTTGATGATTCAGAAATATGGACCAAAGAGGCCACAGATCCTCCCATGGAAAATAAAGCTGATGACCAAAATCTCATGCATAAAAAATCTCATGCCCTCATCAAATTTACATGTGCCTTATTGGGATACTCAATACTTGCCAAAGCAAGTTTCAGCTATCAAAATTACAGACCCGGTTTTGATGTATCAATTCCTCTCTTTTCAAAAAACCATTCTACTCGCGGTAAAACCTTAATGGAACCTGAAGATGGACCCGAATATCAATTAGTCGATGATGTGGTTATTGAAACGATAGATACAACTCGATTAGATAGCAGTGATCGAAAGAATCTTTTGGTTTTCAAAGGCAAAAGATACACTCATGGAATAGGAAGTGAAACCCGAAACACTCTTCATCATTTACATAACGATCGAGATATACTCATCTATACTACTTGTAAACACGGTAAAAAATGGAAAGATTTGAAAGATGAAAGATGTGCAAAAGACAATTTGGAATACGAAAAATTTAACTACAGCATATTAATGGCCAATTCAACATTCTGTCTTGTTCCAAGAGGTAGAAGGCTTGGTTCATTCAGATTTTTGGAAGCTTTGGCAAACGGTTGTATTCCGGTTTTATTGTCAAACAATTGGGTTAAACCTTTTGAAGATGTCATCGATTGGTCAGAAATTGTAGTTGAAGGAGATGAGCGAAGTCTTTTACAGCTGCCAGAAATTATACTAAGATCTTATGAATGGAAGAAGATACAGCAAATGGCAGCAAAAGTTTGGCTGTTTATGAAACCTATTTTTCAAGTGTAGAAAGAATTGTATATACAACAATAGATATACTCAATGAAAGAATTCAAACTCATTTGAGTTTTACAACATTTTTATGGAATCTGGTCAACCCTAGTTTCACTAGCTTCACTGGTGCCATTTGGTTTGATGCTGAATATAGTTTTGATCTGAAAGATTATCCAGGCTATGGAAAACTTAGTAATTCTTACTCACCTTCACGGCCATCTCCTTTATTATCATCATCTGCTTCATCAAATTAAATATCACTTCTTCGTGTTCAGGGACCAATTAATGGTTACACAACTGTTCTTTACATAAACAAACCAATACCTGAAAGCAAAGTAAGTTATTAGAAATACATTTCATGGTTTTAGTTTATTAAAAGAAGAACTTGATTTTATTTTCAGTCAATAAATGCCAAACTCTTTCCATATAAGGATATAAATACTTATGCTGTTTTAAGTTTGCAGCCTGATACTACCATAACTGTTGAAGAGGTTGGTAACATTAACTAATTTTATTATTTCCGAGTCTAATTTGTTTAATTATGATTTAGCTGGACTTTGCATACCTTGTATGGCTATCATTTCCTCATCGTATCATTGGTTTCACTGCTAGAGATCACTATTATGATGAGGAAAATATTGAAAACTTTCTGCACTTTTTTCATTATCAAACATTTACCATCCCAAAGGCATTGTAAGGGAAGAGTCGATTAAATATTCATTAAAATGTTTCATGTTTACTAACCATTGGTTTGAAAATGTCCATCAATGAAAAGAAGTTTGTTGGCTTTGATGAGCCTAAAAGATGGAAAAACACTTGGAAAGATAAAGTTTTATCGATTGAAAGGGCGTCAGCCAGTTCCATTTTCAGATGAAATTCATGATAAAGTTCACAATAAAGTTGATATGATGAGAATTAGGAAGATGGAAAGATAATGCTGACCCACCCAAGTCTAAAAGTGCATTTCAACCGCAATCTTCAACCTGGCAACATTGAAATTTCAAATCATTTCCTTTATTCGTTTATTCAATAGTTAACTCTCAATATATGGATTTAATGTTTAAACTGTGTTTGTGTTGTGATAACAATGGATGAGGATAAAGTTGCCCTAACCAAAGAGGATTCAGTGATTCAAGAAGACCGTGAAAACAATGATGATGTTGGTGAAACTAGAAGTGAATCAAATGAAGACGAAAGTGTAAAAAATGGTGAAAACAGCAACGTTCAGCAAATACGAAGAGGATTAACTCGATCACGGTCAAACTATCCAGAATCTTCTGCCTCATCGACCGTTGATCAAGACGATGAGCATGGACAAGACTCTGAGGCAACCATTTCAACTTCACCTTCCCATCATGGAGATGCAAGTGAGGATAAACAGAGTAAAGTTAAAAATGGAAACGTGAGTGAGGATCACAAGCCACCAACTTCTTCACCTTCACCTTCACCTTCACTGCACTCAGCCTCAACATCGCCTTTGCCTTCACCATGCCAGTCACCACCTTCACTCTCGGAAAAGATACGTGACCGACGACGGTCTTCATTGGCTCCACGAGATTCAGAGCTTATAACAGTTACTAAAAGATCAAGGTAATGTGAGATGTTTTTGGTTTTCGTGATTCTAAATGTTTTGTTTGCTGCTCCAGATCAGGTTCAAGATCTCCTAGACGTGGATCGACTACCTTTTTAATGGGCGATGACAGTATAATGGTTCAACTAGAGACGGGAAAACGACGATTATCATCATTCTGTGCTTCATCTAATGAGTAAGAATTAATGTGACTTTTTTGCCTGTTATTCAAAAAAAAACATTTAAACATCCTTTTCCATGTCATCTTCTCATTACTCATTCATTTCTCTCTCTAATTTTCAAAACACTTTAACATTTTCAACTTCACATTCCTTTTTCCTTCCTTTTTCCTCTTCCTTTTTATTACTCTTCATCATCATCTTGCACATCTTTGCAAATGATGAAACACTTTTCACATTCTTAATGATCTTAAAATGATCAACAGTGAAACCATGATAACCATAGATGATTCATTAACTGAAGAGGAAATTGTGGAAACATTGAAAGCTCACAAGCAGATAATTTCAAACATAAAGACTCAAAATTGGCCGATGCATCGAAAACTCAAGGTAAGCAAAGTTTCAATTCAAAACTGAAATCCATTTCTCTCAAGTCTAGAGGAGTTTCGACTTTAATAAATCTCTATGAGCATTCGAGATAAATAAAGAAAGGAAAGAAAAGTCAAGCACTCGAGAAAAACCAGTTTCTCGGCTGGTATCGATCAATTTTTCGATTTTTCTTTCGATGCCAACTTAAAAATGGATATAATCAAAGACAATTATTTTCGTTCAACTCGATTGATTCGAAGTGAATAGAGAAACATTTTTTAACTAATTTTGGTTCCTTTGTGTTTGCTAAATGTAACTAAATGGAGACATTAAATTGACTTGAGTTTAAATTGATTTTGGTTTAGAAGCAAATCTCATGCAGAAATTAAAGGAACAGAAATTGTTTCTTTTCGAGTTTCTTGTGAATCCATATTTGCATCCAGGAACAGCTTAATGGACATTATGTCATTTAACGATATTGGCTTAACGTTGAATCAACTAGTTTGACAAGCTGTAGGTTGATTCTTTTCGCCCGGAAAAGTGGCCATTTATTTTGATTCATTTTGCTGCTTTTGCATTCTCACAGCCAATCAAATATGGGCAAATAAATTGAGGTTATATCTTTCAATGTCCTGTGTCTCTTTATGTCACATGAAAATCATGATTAGGTCAGAAGAGAAGAGAAGAAAAAGTTATGAATTATTGACTTGAATATTGATAAATAACCAAGAACAAGGCAAAAAAGGAAAGTTATAATGAAAATGATTGGGCCAAGTGTATGAACATCATCAAATGGTAAAGATGGTAAAACAAGTGAAAGCCCAAAAAAAAGAGAAAAAGAAAGAGAGAGAAAAACAGAGTTATTGCCCTGGGAAGGCTCATTATTGATAACATTGATTGGTCATTGCGTGTTTCCTGGTCAATAGCCAGGTCTGGACAAAAGAAGCAAAAGGGTGATTCAAGCAGACAGTGGGAAAAAAGGATCAAAACCTTGGGACATTAATGGACATAGGAAATCAGTTTTCAAAACTTATCCTGTTATCTTCATCTTGCTTCTCTCACTCTTTGCCCCAACTCTCAGTCTCACTCCCTGATAACTATTGATGATAACTGAAGCTTAATGAACATTCCGTACATAAATATAATACCAGCTAAGCATAAAAGTCAACTCACGTGATAATCAATTTCATTTTCCTCTTTTCTCTTTTCCTTTTTCTTCTTCTTCATTTTCCTCATTTTGCTCATCAACTCTCTGTCATCATTGGACAATTTAAACGATTTGATAGATTCTTCGTCGAGCAAAGATGTACATCAAGAAACACGAAGGAGACCTTAAACAGAGTAAACAAGCTAAAGATATTGTTACCAAATACCGAACTTATCTTGAAAAGGTATTATTCAAAATGGAGTAAAAGAGCATTTTCTTGTTCGATATTAATGATCAACTTTTTCTTTGCTTCTTTTGGCTTCAGTCCATTAACCGATTGAAACGTGAAATTGATAATCTTGTTGTCCAATTGACACCTTGGGAAATGAGGATAAAAAAGATTGAAAGTAAGTTTTGGAAATGTTTTGCACTCTTTTGTCCTGTTATGCTGTTAACTCAATTATAAACAGTTGAACTGAGAATGGAAATTATCTGTTAATTAAGATGAAAATGATAATGAACTGGTGACAAAAAGTCTGATTAATATTCAACTCTTTATTGTTTATCATCATGATAATCAATTTTTCCATTTTTATTCTCTTTATTATCCTTTTTCTAAGATTATCAACTCACGATAATTATCATTATGCTTGGGTTGAAGGGAGTGCAACAAGATTGAGTGATGATAATAAATGTTGTACAAGTTGATAAATATAAAATGATAATGTAAAAGGATGAGTGACATTAGGATAGAGTGTGGAAAGGTTTTTGTTTTGTTTTTGCTCACCCTTTTACTTTGCATCTGCAAATGTCCAATCAATTAATTAATTTGAGTTAATCATGATTAATAAATTTATCGTTCATTAATCTTTCCCAATAACAGGGAAAAACGGAAAATTTGTTCAACTTTTAGTTTCTCTTTTCCTTTTTCAGCCAATTAATGTTTAGATGGAAATAGAAAGGTTTAGTGAAATGATGAAAAATTATGATTAAGATGATGATAATACAGTCAATTTGAATGGCTCTCGGGACTTTGTTTCATCAAATTTTGTCACTCATTAATGTTCATCTTTTCGATGATTTTCATTATGCTAATTTTCAAATGCTATTAACTTATTATTCTGCTTTATTTTCAAAAATTGAGGTCAATTTGGTTCAGTTGTGGCTTCATATTTTACCTTCCTTCGCTGGATCTTCTGGATAAACACTTTTACCAGCATTTCAATGATTGTCTTTCTCATGGTTCCCGAGGTAAAAACTTTTATGTTTTTGTTTTCCATTCAATTTACAACTCAAAATGAGTGAAATGATAGCAAAAGTTGTTCGTTGAAATTTGATTGTAACGCTGGTTAACAAGAATTAACTGCACCTGAAAGCCCGTTTAAAAGTCAGAAACGATTTAAATGAGCGAAGCTATCGTCAAAAGAGAAACGGTCGAGTTGAGCTGTTTAGCAAGCCTTATTTCGACTTCCTCGAGTCTACTTAAGAACTATTTTTGGACTCAGTATTTGTGTCTCCGACCTATCAAGTCTCAACTCTTGACTCTACGTGAAAATTTTTCGTGCTTACAATAACTTTCTTTCCTTGAATGAAATAAACAGTTTCATTGAATTCATCAGACTTTAAACATTCTATATTTAGATGGTCAAAAATTCCGTGATTTAGTAGCGAGAAGATTTTATCTTCGGCAAAAAAATTTGACTTTTCTCACGAGCTTGTTTAAAATTCATAAGTTCAATTAGTGTTACAATCATTTTGAAACTAATTACTGACGATTGTGTTGTTCTTGTACTCATGTTGAACTTTGAAATTGATTAAACAGATACTTCGAAGCAATAAGGATCCAACTCAGATGAGGAAGTTTGAAGATGCCAATAAAAATTTAACCTTTAAAGAGATGATTAACACTGCTTGGAATTTTGATGTAAGATTATACCTTGAAATTGACCGCAAGCGAAAAATAAACTTGGTTCATCTTTTTTCAGGGCTATTTAAAATATTCGCCAATTTTTTATGGTTATTATGATAATGAAGAGACAACAAGTATTGGTGAGTTTTTATAAGAAAACAAAATTAGAAAGTGTCTCGAGAAAATGGAAAGTTGATCAATTTTTGTTACTTTGCAGGTTATCGTTTGCCTTTGGTTTATTTTGGTGTTTGCCTTTTACTTTATGCCTTTAGCTTCTTCTGCATCCTTCACAAGTAAGTTAACCATCAATAGCAAGCGAAAACAATTAACTCCATCTTTTAATGGACTGAATATTAGAATGACGCAGAATGCTCGAAATAATCGGATTGGATCAAAAGATGATGAATATGTGTTTACATGGAAACTTTTTACAGGTAACGTCAACGGTCACTGTTCTGTCAATCAACTTTTCTATGCTTCGAGTTTTAATTGGTCTTCAGATGTCTGCCATTTTAAACGCTTTTTGACCATAAATAGGGAAATGTGCCAAAGTAAACTGAATGATTAACTGTCAAGTTATGAATAGCTAATGAGATTCTCATTTTTTAGATCAATTTAAAGATCGATTTGGGATTAATTTAAATTATAAACTTTATTCAAACAGTCAGTCACGATATGCAAAATCAGTCATGAAAGTCGAATGGAAAAGTCCAGAGTCTATCATGAAAGGAAAAGATTTAAAAAAGTAAAATGCAAAAAAATGATTCTCCAATTGCAAAGATATCATTAAATTCAATCCAATTTCAATATTTAAACCTTTCAATGTCTAAACAATATTTAATTTAGCTTAAGATTTTTCAAGAAAAGTTCAAAATTAGTAAATGATAAAACTTAAATTTACTGGTTGATGAGAAAATAAAATGAACTTTATTTTTAAGGTTGGGATTTCATGATTGGAAACAGTGAAACTGCTTACAACAAAGTAGCATCCATTGTAATGGGATTCAAAGAGGTGATATTGGAAGAGAAGGAGAAGAAAAAGGAAGAAAAAAATTGGAAAATGATCGTTCGAAGAGTAATTGCAAACATTTTGTAAGTCATCGAATCGAAAATGAAAAAATGAATCAAAATTTTCTCTAACTTTCTCGCTCTTTGACCATTCTTTTCAGAGTTTTACTGTTGCTCATTTCATCTGCTTATGCTGTTGTTTTTGTTGTTCAACGTTCATTGAAATTACCAGAGAATCCAGGATTTATCCGAGAAAATGAAGTCACCATTGTTATCAGTGGAATCCAAACAGTTTATCCAAACATTTTCAACATCATCGCAGCTCTAGAAGATTATCATCCAAGAATTGCACTCAGATGGCAATTAGCAAGGTAACCAATTGAGTCAACGGACAAGCTATCAACTGAATTTCAAAAATTGTCTGAAGTTTCCTGATTAATAAGCATTGAATAATGAAGAGACAAAAAATTCATTTTCTTTGCTGTTGATAAATTCAGGTTGAGATAATAATTTTGATGGGTTTGTTTCACTAATTAAGGCTCGTTAGTAAATCTCTATTATTTTAGTTGTTGGTTTATTGCTGTTATTGTTATCAATAATAATGCTAACAGGGAGTCAACCCAGTTTTTATCCAACTTTTTTCTTCTCTTGTGCTTTAATCATTTTGATAGTGATACAAGTATTTGAACATGTTAAATTAGTTTTAACTCTAATCATCATAAATGTCTATGTTAACTGTTAATATTAATTAGAATCAAACATTTTTCATTCAATCCATTTACTAGTTTTACTTTTAATGAATCAACAAAATTATTCATTTTTTTCTCTCTTCTCTTCATTTCTTATTCAGAATTTTGGTCCTCAACTTGCTTAATTTGTATGCTTTTTTACTTGCAACTTTTGATAAAATTGATGAAATGGTAAGTTTATAATTAATTGATTGTTCAATTAAATCATTTCGTTTGATAATTATTTTGATACTTTTTACGAGTGACATCTATTGGAGTGTAAAGAGACTGTTGCTTGTTGTTTACTTTTTTTTCATTTTTAACTGTTCTTTTATTTTGTTCATCAATCAATTTTGATATTTTGATTATTATTGACAGTCTATTTATTGTTTAATTTTACAATCATTAGTTTATTTTGTGCTTTATTTGTATCAGTGAATTTACTCATTTTATTTGTCTCGTTTGTTTTGTTTGCTTTTTTCTCAATGTCTGCTTCTCAAGTACAGTTGATTAGTTGAGATGGTAATGTTGATCAATGGAACATTTGTCAAGTTAATTCCTTTAATTGAACTGCTGTAAAGTTTGTTTCACTTGATAAATAGGGATAAGATGTCAGAATCATTTCAGGATAAAATACCATTAATTTCTTAATCTCCTTTCACTTCTACAATTATTCTGACTTCTTTAAAGCTCTAAGTGATTCAATAGAAGGTCTACATTTATCCTCATCGTTTTTAAATCTCTTCACAAGACTTCATCTAATCATCTCTTAGCCTCTCTTCATTGTGTCCAGTATTAATACAAACTGCTCTGTTTACCATCTAATTACACTCTTGGTTACTAAAGGTTTGGTTTAATTTACTCAAAATAATTGAAAATTGACCAGTATTGACATTGTATCAACTCGATTCCATCACCAAAGTGAACCAAATAAATGGTTACCGATTTCATTTCACCGTCCAATACATCAATATGGATATGTTCAATGTTGGCTGTTGGGCTGAGACAAAAGGTGTTTAAAAGTATAAAATTGGCCTGAGCAATGTGAAATATCAAAGAAACTAAACAGTGATATCAATGGTTATATTAATAATGATAATTTATTTCATGCGGGGAACGAAAATTACATTTATTCATTGGTTTCTGGAGCTGTTTCTATTGATGAATTGCAGTTTGTTTGACTATATGTTGTATTATTATTGTTACATGGAGTTAAACCTTGACAGAAGGGCGTAATAACAATTGCTGTTTGAAATATTAAGGATTGGCAGAAATAGGAAGAAGATGGAGACAAGGAAAGAAGACAAGAAGATGGGGATTAAGAAGAGGAAAAGAGGATGACTTTGGGCCAAGAAGTTTCAGGATAAGAAGGAGTTACCCTGAAATTATCCGTTTATCATTAAAGCAGCATTTGCATTGAGCCATTATAAATCATTGTACTGTCACGAGCAAGAGAAAAAAAAGAGTTACAAGGTTGGATGAAAATCGGAGTCAGATTCAACAGTATCTAAGATGAAGATGTGAAGATGAAGATGACAAAGCTTCAGGATAAAGGCTTTTTATAAGGTGAAAGGAAAGGGTAGAAAGAAATCAATTTAAACGTTTTTACTTGTTTCGGATGTTGGTTAAACTTTTTCTGATTCCTCTGAGATTCTAATTATTTCAACTGTAAAGATCATTTATAATGAGATGAATTCTCAATCTGTTTTCTTCTCCTTTTTTCCCTCGCTTTCTTTCATTCTCTCATAATCTTCATGATCACCAGTGAATTAATCTGTTTTTTTCATCTTTCTATTCTAGTCTGAGAAACTATTGAATTACAAGAAGCTGATAAAGGGCAATGTAACTGCTTTACGGTTAAGCACAACAATAGCACCAAACATTGAAAGTGATACTATTACATTGAGAGTCATCGATTCGCTGAAACCTCGAGAGAATGGTACAATTAAACGTAATCGTCGTCAACCTCATGAAGGTCGACTTTACCCTCCAGGTAATAATAGTATCAAAATTGAATGAGAAATCAAAAATAACATGCTCCTTCCATTTATTCATTATTTATTGGCATTATGTATTACTTGCTTGCAGCAACCTACTCAAATATAAATTTAGTTTTACATTTTCTCTTTTTTCCCTTATATCACATATTTTGACAATCTTTTGGGTTCTCATTTTATTCCTTATTGTTTATTGATTTACCTTTATGCGTCTGGAATTTATTTTTCTCATTTCTTCTTTTAAGATTATCCATAATTTGAAACGGATATTAATATTGATTCAAAGGATTGAGTATCAATATCAGTATCTTTGGATCGATCACATGTTATGCAATGCATTTTTTTGTGTTTAATAAGCATTGTTTAGTCTTTTTTAATTTTTATTTGATTGTTTTGGAGAGGTTTAATTATGATTCTATTTCAACATTTATTTTATATTGCATTCATTCACATTTACTTTATTCTTCTTTGTTTTAAGCAGAAGATTTTAAAATAACGCGAGGAGATGTCGAGTTTATTATGACTACTGAATCAACCACATATGATCCTTATGCGAGAAATGATTTAGATGCCGAGGAACCAATTGATGGTCGCTACTTATCAGGGTAAGTTTATCCTTGATTGAGGATCTTGTTTCGGTATGAACATCTCAATGATCGGTTAATTAATGTAAAAAGTTTTGCATTGTTATCATTTATCAATTAATAAATGTATATTTTCGTATTTTTTCAGGTTTACTTCTCCGCCAACATCGACTACACTTGGCAATTCATCTAATGGAGATCCTGGTGGAGGTAGTACTTTAGATCCTGACTCTGAAAATGGTACAATAACGATAACATTGGAAGAGACTGAATCAACTCCGCCATCGAATGGGTCTGATGATGGTCTAAGTGTAACGACCCCAAGTGCATTTAGTGTCAAACAATCTACTATGAAAGGTTACTCTTCATCTAGACCATCTCAGTGGATTAATGGTTCATTTGTCACAGATAGCTTGCCAACATCAACACCTTCAAGCCGTACCAATAAGAGTACTCGACCAGTTACTAGTCGTCCTTCAACCAAAGGAGTAACTAGACTACCAACAACGAAGGTGACAGTTTCATCGACTGTAAAACAATCAGGATCAGCTTCAGGAACAACAACAGTTCGACCTTATTTTGAAACAACAACCCAATGCTTACCCGAGACAACCACCATATTTACTTATACAGCAGATGAGATACTGCAATTATCAGAAACTGAACGAACATCTCTTCGAGATTTATGTTGGGAAACAATGTTTGGTCAAGAGTTGGCTAAAATTTTGGTTGCTGATACATTACTGGGAATTGTTATCACCATTGTTGCCGATTATGGAAGAGCCTTGTTTGTCAGGTAAGCATTTTAAGAGAAACGTTATTTACAATCGCACAGTAATTATCTTGTAAATCTCAACTACAATTAAATGTATTTCTCTATTATTTAGATATTGCAACGACTGTAGCTGTATTTTTTGGGATTTGGAGACACAGTTTCCTGGCTATTCTGACTTTCAAATCGCAGAAAATATTCTCTCACTTGTTAATAATCAAGCTAATATTTGGTAAGTCTATCGATGAAAAAAAAGAGATTTTGTTTCAACCATTCTTTAAATATGTTATTGAAGTCTGATTTTATCCAATTTAATGTTAAATGCACCATTTTCTCGTCATCTTCAGGCTAGGAATGTTTTTCTCACCTGGTTTGCCTGGAATTAATACAATTAGATTATGTATATTAATGTATTTACAATCTTGGGCTGTTTTGACCTCAAATATACCTCATGAAACTGTCTTCAAAGTAAGTAGAGAAAAACAAAATTTACTTGATTAAAATCTATAATCATATTCCTTTTTATTATATCAACAACTTAATCTTGTCCAGTCTAATCCTTACTTTGTTTCTTATTTCACAGGCTTCAGGGAACAATAATTTTTATTATGCTATTCTTTTATCTATGTTATTCATCTGTATTCTTCCTGTTGGTTATGCAGTTGTTTGGCTTGAACCTTCATGGCATTGTGGACCTTTCAGGTTAAATATTATCTCAAGAAAACTTATAAATCTATAACATTTCTTGAGTTCTCCTTAATGTTTTTGTCTCCATCTATTGTTTTTGTTTGTTTCTATTCTATTTTTGATGCATTTTGACCTCTTTCATCTCTTTTTTATTCAACAGTGGCTATCATCGTGTTTATCATGTACTTACCAAATATCTCGAGAAAACGTTGCCTGATCGAGTAAACAAAATAATTGACTATCTTACGTCACCTGGAGCAGTTATACCTTTGATTCTGCTAATGATTTTGATTATTTACTATTTAATGTCTTCGGTTGGATCACTTCGGGAAGCTAACAATGATTTAAAATCACAATTGAGAAAAGAGAAAGATCTTCAAGAAGAGGAGGATGAAGCTGCCGCTGCTGCTGCAACTGGTGCCACAGTAGGTCAAGATGTAGCTGGTAACTGTCCACAAATAATAAATACAATTGATGGCATATTAACGCCAGGAATGGAAAAGAAACATGTACGAATTAATGACGATATTGGCAATGATTCTGATGTAGCCAAATTATTGGATTCCAGCTGATTATCGAACCATTTTTTATATCAACTTTTTATTATAAAAATAAATGGTAATTTAATCTTGAGTATCTCTTACGTCTTACCGACGTTATTTTTCTATTAAAAAGTAGAAATGATCAAAATCGTCAAATGTTCAGACTTGAGTTTATATTGATACAAGACCTCATTTTAAAATTTGATGGCTTGCATGATATTTCAATGCTGAGTATTTCAAAATAACCACAACCAAGGTTTCTTCAACCTAAAATCCGAACTGAATTTGTCGTTTGGATGAAGCAGGTTAAACCAAATTCTGTCTTAGATTATAATTTCGATATTTATTAATTTCTCATTTTAATTTACAGCTTATTTAAATAATTCAAGAGCCAGCAACTTGATCAAGATGATGATTACCATGAAGCACACTTTTCAATTAGCACATTCAGGATTATTCAAGTTTTCCTTTAAACCAATATTTTCATCAAAGTAACGTTGAATCGATTCAATCTCAGATTTATCCAATTTCTGAGTCTCTGCAAATGAAGAAAAAGATGGACACTGTTGAAGAGTTGGAGTATCAATGGTTGTTATCTTTCCACCCATATAATCAGGGAAGTTGTCCAGTGAAATAAGACTCTCTAATTGAGAAGCTGACATGAATTTGACATGATCACGGAGATGTTTGGGGAAAAAGTAGCGAGCAGCTCTACAAAAGAAAGCAAAAGTCGAACTCATCTCAAGGAAGACAATGTACTCAATCCAAGGTGGATATTGATTGAGCCCAATATGAACCAACTCTTTAAGAGCATTAATATCTATACTTGGATTACGGCAGTCATAAATAACAGCTGGCTTAATTTCATCGGCAAGGGTTCGATTGCGAACCACTTCCAATGAATAAGTGAAATATTTCAAGAGCAACGATCTTGGTCCTAGCGGAACTTTCAATCTCATCCACATCAATGGATGACCGTCAAGATCACTTCCTTGATGATAGAGCCAACCAAGGCGGAAAACTTCAGCTGGAAAATCGGTGGCTTTCAAATCATTGATGTGCTCCTTTTTACGCCATTGGCAGTGTTTCACTAATGTTTCCAGAGCTTTTGATAAAGATGAATTTGTCTCGAGAAAAGATATGCATGGTATATCAGATGACTTAACCAATTTAATATCCCGAGCATCAAATTGGTCTTCATCTGAAAGATCAAGAAATGCTTTACGGAGTTTCTCAATAGACTTTTTAAGATCACTTGGTTCCATGTTGAAAGCGTCCAAGGCACACAAAGTATCACAAATATCCAACTACAATGGCAAATCTTTTAAAAGGGACTTTTCTGTTCACAAATCAACAAACAATAACTTAATAATTTAACTTTTAAAATCAATCTTCAATATTTTCCTTAAGACTCAATCAAGTAAAGGCGCTACAGAAAAAGGAAAATGTTTAAATGAAAAAATTAAGAGGACGCAGCCAGAAGGAGAAAGTTGAAAGTGTCCACTCTAAGACTGGACCTTTGAAATTCAATGAATAGTGAACAGACTTGTTTTGTGCTAAAAAAGATTAACGATTGGATGACAAGTGTGCTATTGAAGTAGTAAGATGTTAGTAATGATGTACCATGATTACTGCTTGAACGATCATGGAAAGTGATTGAAATGGAATTAGTCAAGTGCGTAAACAAATTATCAAGAGAATTAAACCCGAAAACAGGTCATTAATGCATGAACACTATCACTTTTTAAACTCATCATTTGCCAAATCAGTTTCCGATAAATTATCCGGATTAATTACCAACAGCTATCATGCTAACCAGTATTTAATGGTTGATTATTTAAACACTTCAAGTATTAAATTTTAAAAACTGAAAGAGTCATTTATTTTTCCATTTCACTTTTTCCAGGCTCTTACTTCAGGTCATATCGGTTAATGCATGAAGCTTAAACTTGATAATGACTACAGCTGAAAATTAACCTTAAAGGTCAAGTTAATTAAGTTTTACTCGAAAAGTTAATCAAACGGTTTTATTCATTTAAATTCATTGTTAAGGTCATTAGCATTATTTATCAATCAAAATTGAAAAGCTTGGCTCTCATTACGTTTTTTATTGGTTACTAATGGGTAATAGCATTTCAATTTTGCTTATCGTTCTAGTGATTTTTTGATACACTTCAAGAAAATAAGTTAGTATTGTTTGGTTGAAATAAATTTTATAGTTGATTGAATGAGTATGAAATGTGTGAGTCTTGGTTCTTCTAAACATGTACTCTCAGGTCACAGATATCAACTTTTCTGATTATTTAGATAATTCCTAAACATCAGATGACTATTTATACAGTACACAATGTTATGATAGTGAGGTATAATTAATGTTGAAATATAGAAAAGAATGATTTCCTAATTGTCACAGTTTTCTGGTTCTCATTAAAGATTGGTAAGGATTCGTCTTCTTTCATTAAAGTCCATAAGTGTTTTCAAGTGTTAAGAGATAACATGTCGGTAAAGTGTGAATATACTCAGACTGAGTATCAGGAAGAAAGACCATTTAGTTGCTCGGTAAACGAAACAAATACTGCAAAAGATGAAATAAAAAAAAGGATTAGAAGAAAATTAAACGGCAAATTGAATTGAATAGACTTTAAAATTACGGCAATCAGCATATGGACTAATTTTTTGACGTAAAATATGATAGGCTGACATGATATTTATACCAGGAAACTGATATGGTTGGACATAAATCAACACATCTCATTTCCTCCTTTGATCAGCAATTGAAAAGGCACTCAAACTATTAATTGCCTTTGCATTAAGGTTGAAAAATCTCTACACTGGCTTCACCATTAAAGGCTAGTCAAGCTATCAGCTGAGCCAATTATACTTTAGTAATACTAAATTAATAGTTCATATACATACAGTTTGGATCTATTTCTGCTGGCTTCGATATTGGCTTCATCATCACCAAGGAAATATTTCCTGAATCCAAAGTATGTGCACCTGATTTGCCTTATAAAATTTAAATTTCGTAGATCACAAGGAAATACTCGTTTGTCTTCAGGGGACAAACTCTCCACGAGCTTAAGGTAATTTCCAGTCTTGATTTCATATTGATGAGAAGCGAAAAAAACGATGTGATCCAATCCTTCATTTAATTTACAAGCATACTTGTATAAACTGGCAAATAGGGAAAGAAAGGTTAGGTTACATGAATTGGTAAAAAATAGATTGTATTGGGTTTAATAAATACTTACATTTTTTTATAGCCTAAAAGTGTGAATATAAGGTCAAGGAAAAGCGCAAAAAGGGTGTGGTAAATAAATTTTTGAACTGGAAAAAGGATGGACGCCTTCTTTATCTTAGGAGGTACAATCAAGGGCCTGAGCTGCTTTGAACTTGGATATTTGACAGCAAATTCACGGGCAACACTGAAAAATCGCCCAAAAGTCCAGTCAGGATGGAATGGTCCAGTTGAAAAGTTGATTACTTTTAATTTATTTGGGCTATTGATAATGCCAAGGGAAATAAAATTAGAAAGTTTATACTTTATTATCATAAAGAAATTTTGGTCATTGAAATGTAAAAGCTATTTACCTTTTTTCAACCATATACCAAGCACTGGCAATGGTTAAGTTAGCACATTGATCAACTGGTACCATCTCAAAACGGGTCCAATAATTCCAATTGACAGTCTGAAGAAGTCCAGTTGTTGCAGAAATGGTTATTCCTTGGATCCCTTGTAAGGTATCACCCCAGCCTGGAGCTGGCTCTTGAACAGCTACAAAAACAATTGATGGACGGATAATAGCGGTGGGAATGTCACCCATCTCTTGCAAAACAAGATCCTCGGCCAGAGCTTTTGTCAAAGTATAAGAATTTGGAAATTTAGCTACCATTTCTTTTAGCTTGTCATTCAGTTCCAAGTAATCGCCGCTGTATTAAAGAGTTGAAATAAAAAAACAATTTATATTTGCATTAGTAAACAAAGGCAATGTAACAAAAAAACCTACTTATTGAACTTATGACTTGTTAGCTAACGAGCTTGAGCTCACAGTAGCTTTCCATAACACAATAAAATCTCATTTTACTGTATGGTTTTATTATATTTTAACTCAAATTGATTTTGGAAATAAATTATTCTTGAAAGATTAAAATATAATTATTGAAGATTTCTTCAATGGTTAGTTACCTCAAACATTTCTTCATTTCTTTGTATCCAAAGTCTAATGGTTTAAGATCATCCTCTATGACTGTTTGGTGACCAGCTGAATACAAGGATGATATATGAACAAAGCTTAGAATGTTATCAAAATTTCGACATATTCTGATCAGGTTTGCTGTTCCCTCAACATTTTGAACATAATTTGTCCTGGAACACAAGATTAAAGGTTAGTATTAGCTAATTATTAGCTTTCACTATTTTTTTGTTGTGAGTTGTTCAACTTACGATAAATCAACATTGAATCTGACCTCAGCAGCAGAATGGAATACGATGGAAACTTCTTTTTTTAAGATATCAAGCTCTGATTGTCTGATTCCCAGTCCAGTATGAGTTAGATCACCTTTAACTGGTATAACACGGTCCGAATAGCTTACATTGGCATTTTTATCTACTGTGAAAGGTAATCTGGATAATAATTTGATTGTCCGTTGCTTGTAATTGACACCATTCTTGTCTCTAATTAAGACGTACACTTTTTTCACTCTTGTGCTTTTAATAAGCTTGGCTACTAGGACCTAATATGGAATCAAATAATTTGGATAAGACAATTTAATCAGATTCAGTCAAACTATTGAAGAAGATTGAATGAAACAAGAAATTTCAAGAACCAGATAAAAACCTAACTAGCTATCAATCAGATTAATTGTGCCAAGAAAGCGTTTATCATGATAGTATCAATTCTCGTAATATTAGGTTAGCTGTTGAAGCAGTTATGAACTATTGAGCAAAAAACATTTGATACATTTGAGGTAATAATGGTTAGATTGATTTATTACAACTGACATATCATTACTTTACCTAACTGTCTATCAGCCAGCAAAGTCTCAAAAATTCTACAGGATTCAAATGTAATTCAAAAGTAAAGTCGGTTATTGTATCTCCGTTGATAAGGTCGAAATTTAAAGAATGAATCGTATTTACTTACTTTACCGAGGAATCCAGAAAATCCTGTAACAAGAACACATTTTCCTTCAAAAAATGTCGATATGGGCGAATCCATAATGACTATAAACTGACCAAAAATTGACACCAAAAACAAATCAAGTTGATTATGGATGGGATTTAACAGCCACAAATGGGAACAGATTTGTGGGTGAGAAATTAAAAGGAAAAGACGAACTTACAAATGCTGTGTAAAAATGACTCGAATTTCATGGAGACAGTGAAGAGGGCTGGCTTCAAGAGATTATTAGAGAGAATAGGAATAAATCTCATTATCTCTCTCTCACACAATTCTCTGACCATCACACCATCACCCAACTCACTCATTTTACCTTCCTCAACATCTCGTTACACTCACTTTCAATTAAAATTCAATGGTTTTCATTGTCAATGGCACTAACTCTTTCTCATAGACTCTCAAGTTGTACTCACCAATGAACAATAAATATTTAGACTTAATCAAGGTTCATGGATAAAAACTGGTGGCCGCAACTTCGTGAAATGAATAACCGTTGGATCTTTCAAGAAAGTCAATATTTTAGTATTTTGTTTGTTAATCACTTACTGAATCAAGGCAGTAATAACGTAGTGTTGCTTGTTGTACAACAAATCTCCGTTGGAAAACTTTTTCAAAATCTATTAAAACACATGAAGAATTTGAATAACATGTTCCATACAGTTAGAGCTTTTTTAAGCAAGTTTTATTATCTGTGTTTAAGCTTCGCTTTTGCTTCATAGATCATTTTTCTGAAAATTACACATGTACCTATTGAAGTAAAATAATGAATAATTATTAATTACAGAATTGGCCTTCATTTTAAAAGTAAAAACAATCTAGATTCTCACCTTACTGTCAAGCATTTGACAAACACTTAGTCCTAAGGATCCATTGTAATCAAGTGTTACATGGTAGTCTTTCTGTTTTTAATTAACAAATAAATCAGAAGCATTCAAATACTCAAGAGTTTATTGTAAACTGTGAAGAATAATTCATGAAGTTATTAAGCTTTTGTTTGCGTATGGTTTACGATCATTTAGTACGATTTGCCTAAAGATTTATCGTAGTTGAGTTAATTCTGAATTATCACATAATGCTCCAATGTGTTTTTAAAAGTAAATGTTGAATATTGCGCCAAAAGCTACAGAAAATCTCATTTTTCTGGTTGTTTCAGATCAGACAATTAACACGATTTAAACATTAAAATTTCGTAGTTTCAACTCTTCAATACATTTAAGACAAATAAAGACATTTAAAAAAATTCTGTCCTGAAATATCTAAAATACTATGAAACGCTGAAAAAAATCCTTGAAAAATAACTTACCGTTTGGTTAATTTTTACTAATTGTTGTTACTACCCGAAGAAATTTTTGATAAATTTGTTAAAACAAGTTCTTGAAGAAAGTGACAGCAAAAACATTTGATTGAGTTGCTGACTTACACTTGTTAGTAGTTGCGAGACTGTAGATTTCAAAGTTAAATAAGCATTCAGGTTAAAGTGTAGCTTGTGCACAACGTTGACCAAATCCAAAGATTGCGTCAATTCGTTTGATTTAAAAAATTTTCAAAGATACTGAACAAAATTGTACGAATTCGTGTATTATAAATTGTTATAATAAATTAACAGAGACAGAATTTATTAATAGATAATTACTTCGTTGAGAGGATAAACTTCTTCGATTTAAGTTATTGGTGAAAATTTTTCTGTGCCAAAAAGTAAGAAGAAATTTGAGTATAGGTTAGATCACTGCATTGGAGACATTCATTGATAAGATTCTCGGCCCCAAGGGGCCTCGCTTCTTACTCTCCAATGCAGTGATCTAAAAAACTTATACCAGTTTTAAACTGTATTAGTAGTACCGTTTTATACGCTTCTGCTGCACAGACCGGAAACAGAATTACCCACCCCCCTCATTCATGATTAGTTTCATGGCCCATTGAATTCACGCTTGATTGATTTTAAAACGACTTTTTACGCTTGAATTGCCCGCTATTCAGTTCACTTTCAGGCCACTTTTCCGTTGCATAGCAACATAAGGTCATATGTTTTTAACCTAAATAGGTCAGGTAAATGCAGGCTAATTTTTAGCAACCTAACCAACTGAACAATAATTTGTGTTTTTTAAATTCCCTTCATTAATTTGAATTGTTAATCTTTTAAAATGGCCACTAATGTAAGTAGAAACATATATATATGTTTTGACATGTTTATTTTTTCTTTCTCTATCCAGAAAAGAAGCAAACGACAGGTTGTGCAGCCCTATCCTCCAAAGCCCACTCCATCACTGGTGAAACCTGACGAAATTGAATATGAAGTCGAAGCTGACCACATCGCAGAAATTGATGGTGATCAATATGTCGCTCTGAAGTCCGCGTGGTACAGTAAAACAAGGGACTACAACATGGGTGACGACTATATTGAATTGCCAATAAAGTCTCGGGATCCCGAAATTTTCACCATTAAGGAGCTGGCTAAGAAAACTGTGGAAAGAAAAAAACAAAATAAAGGGAAAAAAGTTTACGCATGCTCATATTGCTTCATCGAGTTTACACCAGTAAGAAGTGACCATTGTCTTCGACATATGAATGGTGATAAAGATAGACCTGCTTCTTGTGCCAAGCGTAAGGAAAAAGAGCCAGGTTTGGAGAAACCATGCACTTTAAAACCAGTTCATGTTAGAACTGCTTGATTTTCATGTATTAAAATTTAATAAAACATTGAATAAAAAATCTTAAAAATACATTGGTTTTCATGTTTCTCTCCGTTCTCGGGGGATGTTTTCATTTGAAACACAATTCTTCCGATCAAACTGATTGAAAATGCTTAAAAATATATTAGATAGACACTAATAGTTTATTTCTCGGGTGTATCTTTTTGGATGATGTTTTTCTTACTTCTCGGGGGATGTTTCTCTTTGTTCTCGGGGGATGTTTAACTTTGAGACCTTATTTTTGCAATCAAACTGATTGAAAATGCTTAAACATGCGGTCATTCGATAGATACTATCAAAATTTATCATGATCTTCGGGAACTGGATGACTGATAGTATTAACATAGAGATATCATGAAAATTCTGAAAAATGGCTTTTTATCAATAGCAAGCTTATTTGACCGGCCAGGAAGATGATTCAAACATCAATTTAATTCATTTATATTGCTTGATCATATTCGTGAGCAAAAAAGTATCCAACTTAATTCCATCATGAATTCTGAATTCTAAGCCAAAATTATCGGCTGAAATTTTGATCACCCAATCATTTACTCAGAAGTCATCGGAAATGAATCAGAGTATAATCATTCGACAGATAATACCTTAATTTTTGAGAACTGAAAGACAAATATCATTAACATGGAGTTATCATGAAAAGGCCGAATTCTAAATCAAATAGATCCCTTTACTATTAACTCAATATTTCCAAGGTGATCACAAGTTGCAAACAATAATAAACACTCAAGTGTTGTAAACGGTCAAGAACTAAAAACATTGAGCAATTAAATGGTCAAAAATCAATTCGTGTGCGACAAAATATCCGTTGATTCATTTACGGATTAATCAATGAGCAAAAACTCACTCCGTTACACAGATGTTCAAGCTTCATTCAAAGTGTACATTGCCAAAACTTGGTCACTTTTAAATCAAATCTCAACTAGTAAACTTTAATGTATGTTCAAACTGTTTGAAATTACTTTCAAGTTACCACTAAAAATGGATTTACCCAATAACCAAGAAAAAAACGTAGAAATGAATTTAAGTTACAACTTGTTTAACTGTTTAACCTCTCTTTCTTTCAACTTTGCTTTCTCCCTCTTTTCAGGAGATTGACGCTCGTTTTGCGGGCTTTTCTTTTAGCTCTTTCTACCAGCAACAGCTAAATCTAATGATTTAACATATGGAGCAAGTTTCCTTAGAGGAAACAAAAAAGAAAGCCCCAAACGCAATCCGAAAAAGATTGCAGATAAGATTAAGAAATAAGGCCTTCAAATATATGGAGGACCTTAACAAACTCAAAGCTCAGTGAAGAGTTTCTGCTCGTCTCTATAATGAGCACGCTCGGAACATTTGTGAGCTGATAGACTGTCATGTTTGGACAATCAATCGGACTAGCAAAATATATTACAAAATTGTAAAATCATAATTTTTTTTGAAAATCAATAAAGATTCATTTTAATTTAAACGTCTATTTCATTCGGGAATTAATGTATAAGTTATCTTTTTCCATAGATTGAGTGTAATTGCTGCAAGCACAAATTTATCAAATTGGGAGAATTATCAAACCACCTTTGACAATGTAAAACGGAAAACATATGGTAACCTATGACCTTATATATCCCGACTTAAAAACCAAAAACCAAGATAAAATCTCAAAAATCTGACAAAATTCCAAAAAAATCCAAAAACATAAAAAAAACATCAAACAAAGCATCGTAAAGCATCGCAAAACATCGAAAACAATTAATAAACATTTTAATAAAAAAGCCTCAACACAGCATCAAACCCATAACCCCTTCATTACTACAACTCTCTTACCAACTGCGCCACCGCATTTGCTTAAAATTACGTTATACAATTTTCAATATAAACCTAAAGGTGCAACTTCAAACACAAAAATCTAAGGACCCACGAAATTTACAGAAAAAAGACCAAAATTCCGTCAATAAGGATTCTCTCTATCGATTGCGCTACCCCCCATTTTAATCGGTGAGTACGCATGAAAAACGTCCCTTGTAAGTCCAAATTTTTAAAAAAATGCCCGCTATACTGCCATAGGACTATGGAAAGAATCATATAGTTTTTAATCTTTACTTCGGAACTTGGCCTGATAGTAGTGAGTATGATATACAGTCTGATAGAGGAGGATCCTCTTTCAGACGTTATACCATAGACGGCTTTTTTTAGGAGAGGGAGGGTAAAGAAGAGAAGGCAAAAGAGGGGAAAGCGTTAAAAACGGCCAACTTATTTTTGGTCTCAACTAAAAGGTAAAATCATAGAAATTTTTGTCAAAAGCTGTTAAATCTTAAAAAACAAAAGCTTTTGACAAAATTTTTTATGACTTTACCTTTTAGTTATAAACAATATGATTATCAGATTATCTTATTATTATCATTATTATCTTATTATTATCATTATTATCATTATTATCATTATTATCATTATTATCATTATTATCGAGTAACTACGTCTATGATGATCGTCGGCGCTTGATAGCCCGATTTATGTTATCATAGACGTAGTTACTGTTGATGCTGCATCAGCATCAGTTCACTTCGTGAGTGTGAATCTAACGAAATTGAGGATGAAGCTGGAGAATAATATAAAACTTCTCCTGCTTCATCCTCAACAACGAATGCTGACTTAAGGAGGGCTGCATCAACTTTAACATCAATTGCATCATCATTATTTTCACCATTGTCATCATTTCTACCATCATCTCCATCATTACCATTTCTATCATCATCATTACCATCATTATCACGATCATAACCATCCAGGTCATCAAAGTAAGGTCGCCTTATGTAGGCTATACGCAACAACCGTATTGTTACTTATTGTATTGTATTTATTGTATAAAGTGTTGCTGCGTACAGCCTCCATAAGGTCCCTGACGAAGTGGCTAACATGATAATAGTAAAGCACTTTATCCGTGGGGTTTGTAGCCACTTCGTTAGGGACACTGGATACGTCCAGGGCGGGGGCAGGTGGCCTGTTGATAGGGCGATGATGATCGGTAGATGGTTCAGAGCCTGGTGCAGAGCGTTTGTTGGGGGAAGGTTGGGGGTCGGAGTGGGTGAAATACCGTTTCTTTGGAGGAAAGCTATACCACACCCCACCCTGATAGTCGTAGTCGTATCTATCAGATGGTGCGGCGGGATGTGGTATATAACCAAAGCAAACTGTCGGTGCTGTTGGGGAAATGAGAATCGGGTAGAACAATTGTTACAGGATTAGGGGTCATGTTGAACGGAGTAAAGCAAAACTTCAAATGATTCTCCCCACCCCTCTTAATACTTACGAGTCTTTTTCACAGTTGCGTGTTGATTTACTCCGCCCACTATCTAAGAACTAAAAATTTTAAAGTCAGAGAAAAATGACCCGCGCATGCGCAAGCGCTATCTATGAATAAAAAAGTTAAAAAAAGTGCCAGTATGAATAAAACAGTCGTTTTCAGGCTAAAATAGTATTATTCACGTAGTTTTCGACCAGAAAATGTTTGAGAATAGTCTAGCATATAACTAATATCGTGATAATGATTTAGAAAGTGTATTCATAACCTTTATATCAACTAAGTATGCAGAAACTGGAAGCCGGACGTTATCATAAAGTTGTGATATTTCTTTATATGATTTACATCTAGTAATAATCATCTTTCCTGTATGAAAGAGTAAACATTTTTTTCTGTTTTCAATGTAATATATAGAAGGATATAATTCAGGGTTGTAAGTGAATATTGCAGTAGATTGGAGAGCTAACTTAGTTAGGTTTATTTTAGTTGCAATTTCGCCATACGAAACTTATTAACGACTTCTCGAGCGATTTTGAGATATGATATTTTCAGCATTTTACAAAACGTTTTGATGCATTTTTCACCTTGCTTGATACTTTTTACTCCAACTGCGTTTATCTTGCCATTTCTGAATATCAGACAGCAGCCACCCCAGTTTTTCAGGACAGCTCCATTGCATCTACTCGGTCTGTAATCAATATTGTGGAAAACGTTTTTCAAAATGATTAGTTTGCAAGGAAACTCCTTAAGCTAATACCTTATCACTATATTACTTATAACAGGGTTGGTATCCATTTTTAATTTTCTTTCACATTGAACAGTAATTTCTGCATTGGTTTTCGAGATAAACGATACAAGTTTTCTGCTCACTGAATTGTTCAAAAACATACTCGAGATAATTTATTTGAATAATTCATTATAACGAATTGAAGTCAAAAAGATTCTACCCAGCTATCTTGATGATTCAGAAATATGGACCAAAGAGGCCACAGATCCTCCCATGGAAAATAAAGCTGATGAACAAAATCGCATGCATGTAAACGAAGCCCTCAAGAAAACTAAAAAACCTGAATTTTTAGCGGACTGTCGTATGTCTAATTGTTTCAATTTTGATCGCTGTAAGCCTGGTGAACGTCTGAAAATACACATCTATCCAGATTCATCTAAAATATCATCTAGTTCCATATCATCAACTTACCAAAAAATTATACAAATTATTGAATCATCTATTTATTATGAACCTGATGAAAGCAAAGCCTGCTTATTTATTACAGGTTATGATTACCTTGATAGAGATCCTTTGAGTCGGGACTGTCAGAAAAATTTGCCCGCTTCACTGCCATTAGACTATGAAAAGAATCGTATAGTTTTTAACCTTTACTCCGGAACTTGGCCTGATTATCGAGAACTTGATCTCTATGGATAGTAGTAATAGAAATACACAAGATAGCCCACTTTTTCGATAATCGATATTGATTTATAATTTTTATACCTTTGTTAATGTATACGTACCTTTGACAATGCAAGTATCGAAATGACCTTAATTATACCGTTATAATTAACTTACCTTAACTTACCTTGTTAAATGCACTCGTACCTTTGATTGATTGATTGATAAGTTTAATTGATATTAATGATTATTGTATCTTTTACAATGCTTTCTTACCTTTGGTAATGCATACAGTGATTAACCTTAAATTTTCCATGATTAATGATGTAATGCAATTAAATAAGGTTATTGCCTTGCATTCACTTATTTTTAACTTTAATCTTCAATCAAAGCATACCTGCAAGGCATACTGCGCTTAACTTTAATTATCTTTTGCAAGGATCAAGCTAAAAGGAGATTACCTGCGATCGTCAATCAAAACTTATTCAAGAGGGATAAACTTCTTAACTTTAATTACTTTTGTAACTAAGAAAGTTAAAGTAACTTTAACGATCAACATTAATCAAATTCTGTGGGAAAGCTCTGCAGGGAAGATTTAGATTTCCTTTAATCGCTTTCAATTTTCATCTTAAACTCCTCTTATCATATTACAGTAAGTACCAAAACTTTGTGATTCCTTTTATAACGTTTGAACTTTTCTTTTCGTTTCTTTTCTTCCAGGCTAAACCAACTTGCTGATTCCATAAAGTAAGTTAAAGGTTAAGGAGTTTCCAAGCATAAACTGTTTACTAATATTCTTTTTCTTTTTGTGAATTTTTGTGACTTTTGTGACTTTCGTGACTTTTTGTGAACCATCGGATTTTTTTTAAATTTTTTGTGACTTTCCATTTGGATAATTTACACCATCAGAAGCGAACCCACACCACAAACACCAGCATCAGAAGCATCATCACCATCTACCATCAAAATTAGCAGCAACGCCAACTGACCAACAGCAGTCGACCCCAACCAGACCCCAACCAGACTCCAACTGCCTCCGACTGACTCCGACCACTAATCAGCGACATACAAGTAAGAACTTTTCGTTTTAGATATTCTCTCTATTTAGATTTTATAATTAACTGTGATTGTAGTTCAATGTCCGTCTTAATCAGTATAATTGTCAAACATCATTAATGGCCAAAAGGCAACAATCTAACAATGTTTAACAAAAAAGTTGTTGAGTGTAAATTGAAAATTGCCTGTTAAGTCTTGCAAGCAAAATCAACATATTATTGTATCTTGAAATTGCAATTAACAATGGTTAACAATGACAATTAATCAATTTGCGTGGCAAACAACAAAAAAGTCGAAGTAAAGTAAAGGGAAACTTTTAAATCACAAATAGAATCAGTATTCATGTTCCTACAAACCAATAGAGTCTTAATTTGACAGAAAATCTGCTTAAATAATTGAACAAAAGACGATTAAAGTTTCAACCTAAGGTATCGAAAACGAAAAGTTCTTACTTTTATGTCGCTTATTAGTGGTCGGAGTCGGCCGGAGTCAGTCGGAGGCTGTCGGAGGCGGTTGGAGTCTGGTTGGGGTCTGGTTGGGGTCGACTGCTGTTGGTCAGTTGGCGTTGCTGCTAATTTTGATGGTAGATGGTGATGATGCTTCTGATGCTGGTGTTTGTGGTGTGGGTTCGCTGCTGATGGTGTAAATTATCCAAATGGAAAGTCACAAAAAGTCACAAAAAATTTAAAAAAAATCCGTTGGTTCACAAAAAGTCACGAAAGTCACAAAAGTCACAAAAGTCACAAAAGTCACAAAAATTCACAAAAAGAAAAAGAAGATTAGTAAACAGTTTATGCTTGGAAACTCCTTACCTTTAACTTACCTTTATGGAATCAGCAAGTTGGTTTAGCCTGAAAGAAAAGAAACGAAAAGAAAAGTTCAAACGTTATAAAAGGAATCACAAAGTTTTGGTACTTACTGTAATATGATAAGAGGAGTTTAAGATGAAGATTTTAAACAAGTTCGGCCGAACGATGAATTAAAACTGAAGCAAAGAACGCTCTGATTTCTCTTTCTCTTCATTCGCCCGCCCATCTTTATCTTCATAAAACCAACTTTTCTTGTTATTTTACATTCTACAGTGTACCTTTACACGAATAAACGGTAATTAATTATTAGAATGCAATCAAACTGTCACTAGGTTCTGTATCAAAGTTGCAACGATATCCATGATTGATTATAACTATCAACTTTGAGAAGCTTTACAATACTAAAAGAAAATTTAGTTTGCTCCCAGCGTGACC